ATGACTTTCCAAAGCAGCTTGGGGTTTTCGTTTGAGGGACAGGGAATGAGAGTTGCAGTTACTACATATTTTTGCCAATGTTTGATGTTGCAGTTACTACATATTTTTGCCAATGTTTGATTCTTCTTTCACCCTTGGCCATAATAAGAACTCTGTAGTGGTGTCTACTGTGGATTAAGTTGAATTTACTAAGCCTGCTCAGGCCTTCACAACCTCTTGCTTTACTTGTCAAGTGTCTCTTTTGGTGAAGCAGAGGTTCAAAAGTTTGTTCATCTTTTAGTGGGCCATAATGCTTTCTTATCACTGAGGTTTTTTGGCTCATTGCCTTTTCTAGGCAGGGTTTCTCTGTGTAACAGCTCTGAACCATTGAGTTCTGAGAGTCATTTATCAGCTGTCTGTGGCTGGAAGGTCTCTTCTCTCAATCCGTTCTGCCCTTTCATTTTGGCGTGGACTGTATTTGTTTTAAATTAGTTAATTATGAGGGAACATAATTTAAACTGTGTTTGGGGCCATTCTAAGAGCACTCATAGAGGGATTTGCAAACGAGCAGGGATTTCAAACAACAGCAACTGAAACAGAATATGTTGAATGGAGAGAGCCGTTTGGCGGGAACCAGTTTCTGGAGTACTCTTCATTGAACCATTTAATGAGTTAATTAACTTGATCTTATTAATTAGGAGAAAGCTGTATGGCACTTCTAGTCCAGCATTGGTGTTTGTTGAAAACTGTTAATTCTGGGGGATTTAAGACAGTTAAAAGGAGGGTTTAAAAACAACGCGGAGAAGAAAAGGATTTAGGAAAGGGTCTGTTGCAGCAGGTCAACGAACATTGTAACAGATTTAGAGAAAATGTCCGTGGTGAGCAACAGCGTAGCTCCGATCTACTCTCAGCTCTAGCTACCTTTGCATTTCTTACAGCTAGAGAGGAAAGACAGAAGCCCAAAATGTTTAGGACCTTGTCGTCTCTCCTAGGCAAATTTCTCTTGGTTCACACCCAGGTGCAGCCAAGATGAGGGAGCTATGGTCAGATGGGTAGTGACCACAGCATGACCTCGTGCTGGAGCTGGCCACTTCACATTCCTTTATAGCTTGACTGCCCCAACTCTTCAAGCATGTCTTCACCCTCTTTGTGTACTTACTTGATTCCCTTGTGTCTTATTTGATGGAAGTGCCATTTATATACATTAATCATTTTATTGGCCTGTTTTCTGACTATTGTATTTTCAGAGTATTTAAAAATACATACGGCACGAAAAGTAATCAGGGTTCCCTGTCCTGTGGGAAGTCCAAGGAACCCCCACCTCCATGGGGACTTAATTGGGGGAGGGGGAGGAAAATGGGAGGCGGTGGCGGGGAAGAGACAGAAATCTTTAATAAATAAATAAATTAAAAAATTAAAAAAAATAGAAGTAAGAACAGAGCTCCTGTTTTAGGCAGAAGCTTTATTTTGAAAGAAAAAAAATACATACGGCAACTATTTTCACTTAGTCCATGGCATACTCCTCATTTTCTTAAAGCATGTTATGAATAAATACACAATCAGATGTTGTCTGAGTACCTAGAATGGCTTAATGCCACTTAAATATCTAAATATCAATTTTTGTTAACTACAGGAAAGGCAATACAAACATGTACTTAGGTGTTACCATGTCTACATGCCTGCACTGCCATGTGTCTAGGCAACACTCCTATTCCCATGTAGCCTGTTGCTTCTCAAGATCCCTATCTTACTCATGAGCTTGAGAAGGCTCCCCTGCTAATCAGCCTCTCTAGAATCAGTGTCTTGATGCTTTGCTCAGAGGCCTGAGGTAGCAGAAGGCAAGGAAAGAACCGGTGCTCTGTCATCGCTTAGTCTTGTCTGGTCACCCCACTACCATCTTTTCTCCATATTATTTGACAAATGGACCCGGACACTTTCTGTTCTGCATATATTAAAATTCTCCACAAACAGGGCTTTGAGCACTTTTGTTTTGAGACAGGGTCTCACAATGTCTCTGTGGCTGGCCACCATGCCCAGTTTGAATGGATGCTGGAGGTTTGAAGAGGTTGACAGAGAATGTCCTCACATCAGTACACACCACGTCAAGTTTCGAGCGAGACCGCCTGTTCTGAACAGTCTGGTGTGTCTCCCAGCAGGAAGTTGTCTGACTGACTCCAGAGAGCATCATATGTCCAGGACATTTGAGGGGTTGTTTCCTCTGTCTCTCTTCTTCTCAGAACAAATTAACACCCCAAACATGTTATCTTAAGCCATTTTATGTTCCTGTCACATCATAATCAAGAGTAAGTAATTTGCAAATAATAGAGGTTTCTTTTGGCTCCCAGTCCTGGAGGCTGGGCAGCTTTAGATTAGGCAGCCCCATCTCAGACTCGAGTCTCATAATAGAAAGCAGAAGAGAAGGGAGATGTACACACAAGCAGACAGTTCTGAACTTCCACAAGGCCGAACCCAAGTCTTCAAGAGATGGGGACTCTGCACCTCCTCCCTGTTAACACAGCCGCGCTGAAGAACTGAAGTCCCATGCCCACAGACACAAACGTGCTGAGGAAGCTGAAACAGCACCACCTAGATGCTTTCCTGGCTTTGTGTTGCTATACTTAAAGCTTCCAGCTCTACTCTTTTATATTAAGTCTCTATGGGTACTTTCCTAAAGCATTATCGTCATGAGTGTTCGGATGCCAGCTAAAATGATATTACCTTACCATAGCTTCCATACACAGTTGCTTTCTTTGGCTCAGCAGAAGCCACCCTTTAGGTTAGTATTCACTGCTACTGTATGCTGTGAATATGTTTTGTTACCATTGGTTAATAAAGAAGCTGCTTTGGTCTGTAGCAAGGCAGGACAAAGCCAGATGGGAAATCCAAGCAGGGATACAGGGAGAAGAAGGGTGGAGGCAGGGGCACATCTAGCAATCCACAGGCACAACAAGATGTACTGGAGAGCAGATAATGCTATGAGGCCACATGGCAAAAATAGAGATTAGTAGAAATGGGTTAATTTAAGTTGTAAGAGCTAACTAGTAATAAGCCGAAGCAATAGGCCAAATGGTTTGTAAATAACATTAAGTCTCTGGTTGATTATTTTGGGAATGGGAAGCTGAAAAACAAAAGCACTGCCTCATTTTACAGTGGTGGGCATAATCTTGGCACTCTGGATAGCTAGTAAGCTCAGCCTGGACTGTATTTTAAATTGCACAGAAATAGCTTTTCCCCCAGTTTATCTGTATGGTCCAGAGAAGACAGCAAATACAGTCAGTCATTGCTGAGAATACACCATTCTCTCAGCTGCTCTAGGCTAACCAGTGTTAGCCTATGTATTTCTATATTTTGAACTTGTATTTGACTCCCAGGCAGAAGAGAGCCTTGTTGAAGAAGAACTTCTGGGAAGGTTGGGATGTGACATTGCAGGAAGTAAGAACTGTGTTTTTAGGGCACTTCACTGTTTGGGCCCCCGGGTGCAGACTCATTGTGATGATCCTTCTTGGTTTCTCACTTTGAGTCAGGAAGAGGAGCCCTGCGCTGTCAACACAGCAGTAATTTGTCCCCGGACAGAGTTCTTCTATTGAAAGTTCACTCTTTGAGATGAAGCTCTCAGAGTTCTGAAATGCTCTCAGAGAAAATGCCTCAATGCAGTAACAACTGCCACGATTTTTCATATTGCTCTGACTCCAGAAAAATCTCCACTTGTTGGCAATAAGAACTTGGAGCAGTTACTAGACCTTTTTGAGACTTAGTTTTCTGCCTGCCCTAGAACATGAAGGAACAAAATTATTTCCATCCAAGGGGCTTATGTGGAAGATATCAAATCAATTGTGCCCACAGGTGTTCCACACTGCGCCCATTTCATCAGGGTCTTGCAAGACACAGCTGCTGCATGTGGTACTAAGGGTCAGAGAGACCCAAGTTCCCAAGGGTTGGACACAGGGACAAAACTCTAGCCAGTTGCCAAGTATCAGAGGAGTTCCTTAAAAGCTTAGTTTTTCTTAGGACAGTGGGAGAAATTATTGTCCTCCGTCTCCCCTGAATACCTCTTTCTCTTATGCTTTCTCTTTTCTCACTTAGAGACCAGACATGATTTGAGCCATACACCTTGGATTTGGCCCTGAGAGTGTGCCTCTCTAGAGTTGCAGAGCAGAGGGAAGCCAGAAGGACAAATGAGGGGCCAGGAGCAGAGGACTCTGAAAGGTAAATGGAGGACAAGACTACTCAGGTTTTGGGGGTCAAAAAGGGTCTTCTCTCTCTTTGACACCTTTCCCTGGGAATAGACAGATACCCCCTCTTCCCTGAGAATCCATTAGGAGAAAGGTAAAGACATTTAATAAATGACAGGGGTTACTCAGGGCTTCTCAGTTATAGGCATGGACACATTCACATTTTATAAATCTAGTAGAGAAAAATCTTTCCTCTGACAGCAAAGGTTTTTTGGGCAAATACAACAGCTGATGTGTTCCTCTGGCTACCCAAGGCCCAGCCAGGTTCTAACTTTATAAGCATAGAGCCCCAAGAATAGAGTAGAAACACCGGACACCGGATTCTGGCTCCAGAACCACCTGCTTGCCACTTCCCTTTTCAATCCCACAATCATTTCCTTAGAAGCTTTAGCTCCCCCACTATCTCTTACCTTGTGTGATGCACGTGCATTCCATTGATTTTTAAATTCCTCAAAGTCGGGAGCCAGAAACTCCACTGCTTTTTAGGAGCGCTGTACAGAGAACACCTTGTAAAGCACGCCCAACAGTTATTAACACAGGTGGCTACAGAAATCAGTAGAAATTATATTGCAACGTTGACTTTTATATCGTAAATATTTTTATTTTCTTAGGTTAAAATTTTAAATAAAGAGTAGAAAATAATTTAATTTATAAATTAATAAAAATTTCAAGTCTTCCTTTGACCTTTCAAAGGCAGTCCATTCACGACCAGTCACAAGGGCAAGACTGTGACGCCTAAAGGTCGCCTGCAACCATCGTCCAGTCTCAGAGATATCAGCTCACAGGTCTTCAGTTCTGGAATGTATTAGTAAGTCTTTTGATGATGGAAAAGTTCTTGAGGATTTCTGCTCGGACTACCATCCAGGCGCAGCTGCTGTGCCCCTTGACTTCAAGGAAGCTTTGCACCCTCCCGTAATAGCTCTTCAAACGTAGAACGGTTGGGAAGTTGCTCGATGTCCATCTTTCATTCGCTAGGACTTTGTTCAGAAAGTCTATCTGATCACCGAGTATACCCAAGAAGCTTTCAACGATTTTCCTATTCCACCCAGTGCTGGAGGAATCGTTTTTGAAGACATTGAAGATATTCTGGAGCATCTCTCGGATGAAGATGACGGCGACTTTCTTCTCCATCCGCCCTAGGCGCTTCACCTCCATAGGGATCTTGAAGTTTATTCTGTGGTCAAGGCAGAGCTGTTCATCCAGCTGTTCCAGGAGCTCCAGACATGCTGAATTGGTGCTGCTTTGTCTGCGCTCAAGGTCCTCGTAGTTGATGGACAGGGCTACGGAGAGAAACCCAAGCAGGAATGCAGCTTGGAGGATACACCTGTTGGTCATGATGGAAGCTGGGCTGATGCTGGCTGCTACCTTTTGCTGATGAGGCAAAGACTGCCCAAGGCTGCAAGCGAGAATGCTCTTCTTCCATGGCCTGAGAAAGCTTTTTATAAGGGATGGTCCTTTCTGGTTCAGAGGAATTTCCCATTTTCAGTTCTCCCTTTCAGTTTTCCTTTGTCATTTTTTTCTTTTTGTAACAGCTTCTAATATTCATTTTACTTACATCCATGCCTATTTTATACACTATATATACTAGGTTAAAATATATACAAACTGTAAGGTTTTCTAAAACGTTTTAAGTTTCAATAATTGCTGAAACAAAGGAAGAGAAACACCCAGGAGAAAACAAAGGAAAGCAGGTAGCCCTGAAGACAAAAGAACTCAAACAACCAAGGTGTCAATGGAAAGCCAGGCAGAGTAGCAGTTCATTCGGGATAGCTTGGCTTCTGCCCATTGAAATAGTGGGCCGGTGGGAGAGGGTCTCTGTGAGTGCCAAGGGGGCTTGCAATAGTGTACTACAGGAGAAACGTCCTATCAACAAGCCAAAGCTCCCTTGGGAGAGGGCTCCATGCCATACAAAAACTGCTCAAAGTGGGATCGAATCTGAGAAGTGTAGAAACTAAAGAGACCAGGGAAAGGAAAACTGTCCGGTGGGCAACTGAGAGAAGTGGCCGCATTGCCCGGCACTTCCCCAAATCAACAGTAGAGGGAGCTCTGCGAAGTGAGGAAAACCACCCAGCCTTTTCTAGAGCCAGGGAGGATGAGCTGCCACAGGAGAGATTACTGATATAGAACCAATACAGAGTTATAGTAGTGCAGTGTTTCTAGAAGAAGGAAAGGATTCCAGAACCACAGGCACACAGCACAGATCAATGCTCTCATCCAAGAGCGCGGTGTATTTAGGAATCATTTAGAAGAGCATAAACCAGAGTTAGAAGCTCAAGAAATGAAGGAGGTAAGCAGAAATTCAATTTAAAAATGGGTTTGGTTGAATTAGATAGAGTCACCAAGGTGAGCTCTTTGGGAGAAATCTCCATTGGAGGAAAACCTTGAATGTTTTGAAAACTGTCAGCAGCTACAACCCAACTATACATAAACACTATTACATTGACTAGGGGGAATGTGAGGTTTGTTCAATATCATAAGACACATAAAACACACCAAGTGGATGAGAAGGTCAAATGATCAAACTCCAGGGAAAAAAAATCAAGGAATATGAAAAGTGACGATGGAACAAGGGTGGTGTAGTACATCAATATGTGAACCTTAAGGCATAGCGGAAAATACTGATAATGTGACTGGAATCAAATTAGACAATTTCAGTGTATCAAAGTCACCCAGAAAGTCAGAGGAAGAGCAGGGCCAGAACCACACTGACGGTGCACAATGAAAGGCTCCATTTTCTTCACTCTCCAAAAGGTCCTGAACAGAAACATTTATAGGAAGCCAGATACCAGGAAAAGAAACTTGGACTAATAAAGATGGTATCTGTTCAATGTTATTGGGTTTAAAAACATACAAATCAAATAAGAAACAGGGGAGTCATTTTTATTTATTAATTTTGAAATGTACATTTATTTAGTAGGGGTGGGTATGTTGGGTTGTGTGGGTACCACAGTAGGCAGATAGGAAGTCAGAGGACAACTGGTAAAAGGTGGTTCTCTCCTTTTGTCATGTAGGTTCCTGGAATCAAACCCAAGACTCTGGGTTTAGTGCTGAGTACCTTTATCTACTGAGCTGTCTCACTTGCCAAGGTAGCCATGTGCAGCAACTGTGTTTCCAAAGGCACAGAACAGTGAAGCCATCAGCTCAAATGTCATAAACTTTTTTTTTTTTTGGTTTTTTTCGAGACAGGGTTTCTCTGTGGCTTTGGAGCCTAAATGTCATTAATTTATTCAAACATTTTAAGTCTACAGATTTTGTTTTTCAAAACCAGGTGGAACAGGGGTTGCTATTTCATATGACTTTAGGTTTTTCCATGGAAAGGTAGGGAGTCTGTGTTTCCTTTGGGGTCTGGGCAGATTCTTTTGTTTAAGAGCTAATAGTGATTTTGAAGGGTAGATATAGAAAAGTGGATATAACTTCTACTTTGCTATCTGGGATTCTTGCTCTTGAGGTTTTCAACCACTTAATACAAACTATTAAGTCATAAAGTCAAAACAAGTTGGCCATGAAGGCACAGGCCTGTAGTCTCAGCACTTGAGAGGTCAAGACAGGAGAATTGAAGGCCAAGGCCAGTCTGGGCTGCACAGCAAGTCTGAGATGAGCTATTCTGGCTAATTTTATGTCAGCTTGACACAAGCTGGAGTTATCTGAGAGAAGGGAACCTCAACTGAGAAAATTCCTCCATAAGTATCCAGCTGCCGGACATTTTCTTAATTAATGGTTGACGTGGGAAGGACTCAACCCATTGTGGGTGATACCACAATGGAGGCCTAAGGTTCTATAAGAAAGCAGACTGAGCAAGCCATGGGCAGCAAGCCAGCAAGCAGAACTCTTCCATGACCTCTGCATCAGCTCCTGGCAAATACATCCAATCAAATATCAATAGAAGTTATGGAGGGATGGCACAGAGAGGATTAAAGGAAGCATCTTTTCCTCTTCACTTTGTACCCATAGACCTACTTGAAATGGGGCTTTCTCCATTATAAGAAGGTATCTCAAGACAGAGTCATAGGCAGCTTCATAATTTAATGCACTTTATTTGGGGTAATTTAAATGTGTTATTAGATTTTGATTTCTTCATATCCCCCTTTAAACATTCTCTATCATAAGCACATGTGTTTCTTTGGATAATGGAGGTATACAAGAGTCTAGTACCCTATAGTTGCAGCAAAAAACGATTCACTCTATAATTTGTAAATATCTAGAGGAGAGTCCCAACATGAAGGCATTATACACGTCCAAGAAGTGGTATGATGGTTTTGATGTTAATTGTTCTACCAAATAGTCAGTCTCCATGGAGGGCCCATTGGTAGAGTCTTTAGGAAACAAAGCCCAGTAAGATGTCATTGGACCATCATGGGGAGGGGGTTTGTCTGTCTGTGCCTCAGTTTGCATTCTGGCCATGAGGTGAGGTGTGCCAAAGCAACCCCCCAGGCTTTGGTGGGCTACATCACAACCTCAAAGCAGCAGAAAGGATCAATAATGGGACTGAGCAGCAGCAATGAAACTTCCCTCTCTGCAAGTTTATTCTCTCAGGTGTGTATTGCAGTAATAAAATGCTAACACAGAAGGAATTCTAACCCCCTTGCTTTGATTATTACACACTGTGTGCAAAATGATTTTTACAATCTATTGTGCATACACCAGTAAAGCACTAAACACCCCAATTATACGGAAAAAGAAGGTGTAATAAGCACCTCCAAGGCAGCCATACAAGAATACAGGGAGGAGTTCTCAGCAGTCCTCATTGTCCGCTATGTTCAGCGAGTCCGGTTTTATCCCATGCTTTTTCAGACCCAGGCCAGCGGGCCTTGGTGAGTTCCCGATAGAACATCCCCATTGTCTCAGTGTGTGGGTGCACCCCTCGCGGTCCTGAGTTCCTTGCTCTTGCTCTCTCTCCTTCTGCTCCTGATTTGGACCTTGAGATTTCTGTCGGGACTTCCCACAGGGCAGGGAACCCTGATTGCTCTTCGGGCTGACGAGGGAGGGGGACTTGATTGGGGGAGGGGGAGGGAAATGGGAGGCGGTGGCCGGGAAGAGACAGAAATCTTTAATAAATAAATAAATCTAAAAAAAAAGAATACAGGGAGGAAAACAAACAAGAGGAGGCACATCAATAGTCCCAGGAACAGTCCTTAGAAATGGGTGGGCTCTTCCTGTTTTTGTTCATGGTGCGGTTTCAACAAAGGAAAAGCTGTTATCTACCAGCATTCACTTTGAAAGGAAATGAACTAAATTCTCCAATAAACAGAACAAAACAAAACAGCATGGCTGAAAAGGTTTTTGAACATGTGTCTAAAAAACACATTCCCTGAGAGCAATGGGAAAAGATTTCTCTTCACACAGCAACCAAAGGAGAACACAGGTAGCCATATGACATTGGAAAACAGCTGGGTTTTAAATACGAATCTCTCCTGAGAAACATGGAAGATTGCTATACAATGCTAAAGGGATAAACTCATCAAAAGTGTGCGGTCATTGTAAATATATATGCACCAGACATCAGAGCACGGAAAATGCAAAGGAGATAGCAGCAGAGCTGAAAGGAAGGGGGCACAGATGCTGATAGCAGCAAAGAGGTCCCCAGCACTGAGGACGCTATGCTAAGGAAAACAATAGCGAGGAAGAAAATTAATATAGCTACCATGGTTATGATAATAAAAGTTTAAAATGAAATTATACATAAAAATGTAGATAAATAATAAAGCATGTTGAATGTGAGCTACCTTTTAGGATAAAATGAGTTAACATTCATCTTCAGAACATTTTATCCCACAACAGAAGAATAAACAAGGAACATAGAATATCTTCTGGGAAGAATATGCTTTTGGCCACAAAGTGAGCTGTAATAGTCTTAGGCAGACTGAAGTTGCAATATCGAGCATCACGCTTCTAATGGCATAAAATTAGAAGGTACTAGCAGGAGGGACCCAGGGACATATGTGGAAGACAGAGGGCAGTCTCCTGTACAGTCCATGCGTCAACAAAGAAATAAAAAAGGGAAGTATAATAACTAGACTACTTTGAGGCACAGACGGAAACAACATACCAAACTCATGAAATGGGGTAGCAAATCTGACAAGAAAAGAGGGCACCTCAAAAGATAAGCCTGATATTAAACACTAAGCGAGTAAGAGAAGAGTCAGTTCTTAGTTCTAAACTGAGTCAGCCCCATAGTTCTAAAAAAAGATGACAAAGATTGGAGCATAATACATATTTTGAAACTCCAAAAAATAAGAGGGGAAAAAAACCAACCCAACTATTGGTATTAGTTTGAAAAGATAAAAAAGATGTACAACCTATGTGTTGAGTGTCTAAGAAGAAAAGTGAACTCAGGA